CCCCCCCCCCCTTTTTTTTTTTTTTGGCCTTGGGGGACAGACGTTGTGACGTGACTTTTTTTAGCTTCAGGTATTCTGCTCTACCCTACGAGGGGGTCGCGCCAAGCAGAGTTAAAACTCTTGCGGGAACCGCCGAAGCCATAACTAAAAGATCCAATTAAGCTACGTACGAAAAATGACGTACAACCAGACTCAGCGTGTGCATTTCTTGTGTGAGTAAACAAAAAAGAAGAATATTGAAGGCACAGTCAAACCCTTTGACAAAATAGGTCAAACGCCCATATATTTGGCTCACTTTGGTTCCGCATCAACATATACAAAAAAAAAACCCAATACTGGCATGGTAGTAAATAAATAGATACATTTAGAAGTACTGTCTTACGGCCACACACTTACACAAAAACCCCTCACCAGAGGCCCTAATCTGCGCTTGTTTCTATACATCGTTGATTTAATATTGCCTTTTCAAAATATCGGATCAAGTTTTTGCTATAGCCTATACTACTCTATACTAATGCACCCCTAAATAATGAACTGCAGTTTTAAGATTAATGCCATCAAGAAAGTCCTCAGATTTCAGCCATCTAGTTCTAGGATAGATACTAAAGATCAATTTACGTCATCCAATATCTGCCCCTTTTTACCGCTTGAAAACGCACGGTGGCGTTCAATCATACAGCTTAAGAACCGTCAAACAAGACGGGACTCACCTCTGACATTCTGGTAATGCATGCTCTCTCTTCATCTTTACAATCCGGCACTAGTACGACCGTCGATCAATGGCTTACATTCCAGCACGGGTACAATCGACGATCAATGGCGATAAGATTACATCAAGAACTGACCCAAGATTGACATAGTTATTCAACAATAGACATTTTAAAAGCTCTGCTTTGCGCGATTTTTTCCGCATTTGCGTTTCAGTCGCGTGACGATTGGTTTGTTTTAAGACAGGTTAGCGAAGCCATCAATCACGTGATAAGTGATCATAGGCAGTGGCGAACCTGAGGGATTTTCAAGGAAGGCTAATTTATGTAATATTTACAACCGTACCTTTCAAACAGTATTCTCTGAATCACGATCTGAACAATCGCCTGTAATCGGAATCACAGTGGGAACAATCGCCTGTAATCGGAATCACAGTGGGAACAATCGCCTGTAATCGGAATCACAGTGGGAACAATCGCCTGTAATCGGAATCACAGTGGGAACAATCGCCTGTAATCGGAATCACAGGGGAAACAATCGCCTGTAATCGGAATCACAGTGGGAACAATCGCCTGTAATCGGAATCACAGTGGGAACAATCGCCTGTAATCGGAATCACAGTGGGAACACTCGCCTGTAATCGGAATCACAATGGGAACACTCACCTGTAATCGGAATCACAATGGGAATATCGCCTGTAATCGGAATCACAGTGGGAACAATCGCCTGTAATCGGAATCGTAGTGTGCACATTCGCCTGTAATCGGAATCATAGTATAAACAATCGCCTGTAATCGGAATCACAGTGACGGTCGCGACGACATCTCGGAATGGATTGCTGGTAAAATTTTCAGAAAAATAATTATTATTTATTACTGAAGCATTACCTTACGCTACATTCGACCAATGAACTTTGACAACTTGTTTGGTTTCAGCCTTTCTACAAAGTTCTTGTCAAGACTATACACAGGATCGTTTTTTTATACAACAAGGTGGACTATGTTCAAAATGTTCATGGTGTCGACTTCTCTTTGCTCTCTGCTATGCAATAATAGCCATGGGGGCCCTTTGCAATGCAATAATAGCCAGGGGGGCCCGTCTTGCTCCGCCCATGGTCTCTAAGACCTTTATCTGGGACCTGTTTCTATACAACATTGATTTAATATGGTCTTGTCAAAATCGTCGGTTTTGGGGAGATGGGCAGCATTCGCACCCGACATTTCCCCACCAGCCGCTTTACCGCCGGGACATTTCCCCACTAGCCGCTTTACCGCCGGGACATTTCCCCACTAGCCGCTTTACCGCCGGGACATTTCCCCACCAGCCGCTTTACCGCCGGGACATTTCCCCACTAGCCGCTTTACCAACGGGACATTTCCCCACCAGCCGCTTTACCGCCGGGACATTTCCCCACCAGCCCCTTTACCGCTG